AGTTCAGATTAGATGAGTGACTCTGTAATTCATAGCTTCATCCTTGAACAGAGCATTGGAAAATTCATATAGATTGGTTGATAAAAATATGTTAAGTTGTTAATACATTGAAAAAAATTCAATATTTTCAACTCTTCTTCAAATGAACTTCATCTAAATTTCAACTACTTCTGAGGTTTTTCTTTCAGATTGTTTATACAATCTATGTTTATATGTTTCCTTATGGATTCATAACTGTATCAATCGATTAAGCTAATTGAACAATTCGAAACTTCATGTAGAGCAATTATTTTTATTTGTTTGCATTTACTTACAGTTTAGTGAACGTGATGGATGTAAAAGTTTCGGTTTAGCCAGAAATTTCATTTTTATTGTCACTATACGATTGTGATGACGATGTTAGATCATCATTTAAAACCTGGAGGCACTGGATGGCTGTTTCGTCCTAGTACGGGAATCCTCAACAGTGCGCATCCACGGATTGAACCCAAGACCTGTGGTCTCGCGCGCGAACCTTTAATCTCCACACCAAAAATCTTCATAACCCATTATGACACTTATTATATGCTGGCTAGTGGCTACCTTCTTGAGGGAATTCTCGGAATTCTAGTGACCGTCCATGGTGAGTATAGTTCAGACTTGTCAGGTGTAAGACAGTCACTCACTAAAGACAATGGATGAAGTCACGCAGTATCGTGGACTATAACATGGTTGGATGACGACTCATTGGCCAAAAGTTTAAGCGTGTGAGGCCACAGGTCCTAGGTTTTCCTTCTGTCTCAAGAGGTCATGGATGAGCACTGCTGATGAGTCCCATACTCGGACTTGACGACCTTTCAGTGGTTTCAGGTTTCTAATAGTGGTCAAACATTGACCAATTCTTCTTCTATTATTCACGAATGAATGATATATCAATCTGACGGATTTTCTACACCTCTCCGCTTATAAACTCGGCTGAGACAAGTTTGAGACTACATTTGCAGCCAGTGTCTATGCATTACGTATATAAGCAAATAATTATTATGTTATATTTTGGGGCAGAGTTTTGGAGGTTTGCGTTTTTTTACACATTTGAAATCATCAACCAATCATTGTTAGACCACCTTTAGAAACCTGGAAGCACTGGACAGCCGTTTCGTCCTGGTGTGGAACTCATCAGCAGTGCGCATCCACAATTCTTGCACCTCGCAGGATTCGAACCCGGGACCTTCGGTTTGGTGCGCGAATGCCTATGTTATAATGAAATGCTATAAAAATCGGGAAACTGATGTAAACGTCACATAAATATGAACTAGTAATCTTACATTTCTTTAAATTATACGGTTTTGAAATCATTCATTTTCATGAATTACCAGGAGTAAACTGTAGTCATTCGGTGAATCAATAAGACAAACACCTCGAATATACTTAATTTCAGATAAATATCCCATTACTCTTTAGAATTTTCTGTTTTATTTGAAATTATATTTCCTTATTCTAAGTTGCAACTCTCATGGAAAACAAAACTTTGAAGTGCTGTTTATTTTTAATAATACTGCTACATTCTGGTATTTTTGAATTCTCCAGATCGATAATGAAAGCTCCCAAATTTAATTGCCTTCTAGTTCAGAGAACTTAAAAATTCCAAAAATAATCTGACTAATTCATTAAGCTTTTTCATCATCTCGAAATACTGCCATTTCCGATTATTTAAACCCTGGATATAAATGACCAGACTGAAGCTGAAGAATTCAAATACAATCAACTAATATTTATTCGAATTTAAATTGAATATGTAAACAATAGCACTCAACACTACTACGAATACAAACACATTTGGAATAATCGTAAAAATATCACCCTTCCAACTATAGCAATTCATACTAAGGAGTTTAACCAATACTCAAAGAAATCCTACAGTAATGCGGAAGAATTAACCAGAGTTGATCAACAGTAATCAAACTTAAACAGTCAATTACCGACAAATAACTTAACAAGACGACAACTTTTCATACTCTACCTACGGAAGACACAAATGATAAGATCGTATTCATCTTCGAAGTTATCTGAAAAAGCTTGATACAGTCAGTCTTGATTAGTGCATGGGCATCCTAGGCAGATTGCCTTGGAACAGAATAGATAGAATGTGGTTAGGAGTGGAACCCAGGACGAGTATTCGAAGTAAACAGCACTAGGTTCGAGCCCAGGAATGAACAACAACTCTGAGGTGTAGGTGAATTCAGCTGACGATTTCGAAACAGGATGAAACGTGAATCTTGAATTCCACTCCAAGCCATATCCCATCTACTTTATGTAAACATGGGTGGTTATGTTATTCTATCCCTAATGTGATTATGGAAGTTAAGTATTTTATACTGTTACAATTGCAGAAATACAATTTCGATATAAACTGTTTATGCTAATTAACATCCATTCATTTGCATTCTATAAATACACACAACGATGTTATCTATGTAACCAGAATTAGTGATGACAAGTAAATAGATATAAATCTAATCAATGCAAAATGAAACAGCCTATAATTTTGCAAATTATTCATTGAGGGGTAGTGCATTTCAGGTTAGGCTGACATTCAAATGTATCGAACCTTAATTTTTTGGCTAGGCTTGCAGTTGCAGATGCTGTCCATGCTACAATGACCTTGGAAAATAAAATTCCATTGACCCTTTTCTCATATCTTAGATATCCACTAGCTAGATGTTTGTATGCATTGTTTGCGCTTGCAAAATGAATCCTACCTTTCCACTAAATGTCTCCGTCTTCCTATTGGCTAAAACTATGTCATTATTACGACAAGCCTATGCGCACATTGGACTTCACGTGTCAAGCATGTTGAAACTACGGTAGATATACAGACAGGTATCGAAACTGAGTTCTATGATATGATTACTTGACCCTGTCCGTCAATCTAATTTTATGCTGTCGTTTTGCTTCAATTCCATCTGCAGCAACGACGTCTGCGCACATTGAACTTTGAGGAAGTTTCTTTTTTGGCATACTTCAATATGCAAATGAGAGTATGCACAGTAAACGTGATTACGTATATACATGTTACTACTAGTGTTGCTTGAAAGAAATTGAAAAAAAACAAAAGTATGAGTGGTAGTGACAGACATACCTGAGAGTATTTGCAAATCTTATTTCTAACTTCTATACAAAATTCAATTCCGGTATCTGGTGTACTAAAACAAACATTAATTGTTTCGCTTATAATTTATCTATATATATACATATAATAAAACAGGTATATTGTTATTATTACTATTATCATTATTATTATCAGTAAATCAGGTGAGTAAATTAATAAAAAAATGCTTTCTGTAAATATTATTTTCACAATTGTCATTTAAAAATAATTATGCATTAACTGTTATTGTGTATTCTTTTTAAACAACTACATTAGTAGTATACTGGAGTAAACCGTCGTACCAAATAATGCTTAGTTCATTTTATATATCAGTCGGTGGATTAGTAATAGACTAATTTGAATTTCAAAACTAAAAACACTGTGTTCGTAATTCAACGAAAACGAAGACAAACTGTTGAATTCTTGAACAAGCTTCATCAATCATCTAGTACTCATGTGTTTCTTTTTGTTTGTTAACAATAATTACTCCACTAACATTGAAGTGTGGATAAATGTCGCTGTTCTGATTTTCCTTCGACTTTATGTTTGTGAAAAAAATAGCATTGGAAAATTATTTGCATTTTCTATGTTTTGTTTGAAATTGTTATTTCTATTGTTATTGATTAAGTTTGATAGTTTTTAGAAAATAACTAGACTATATTAATGATAATTTATCGCTTCACAAGATTACTACTGGATTATATTGAAATAACCGATCATTTCATTCAGAGTAACGAAACCTCATGAAGTGTTATATACTACTTATTTTTAGAAAAAAAGGTAACACATTTTATCATCAATGAAGTATGGTATAAAGAGAATGAAGTAGGCATTCAGAACACTATTTGCATATATATTTTTATATATATAACACTTAAGAATGAACAAAAAGCTAGTTTGTTGACAACAGTTGTTCAGCTGAATCAAGATTCAATCATTCAATGTACCATAACATCTCTGAGTGATTAAACAAAACACAGATCGGAGTAAAACAATGTAAAGTGTGGTAGTTATCCTAGAGACTTTGTAATTATTACTAATTTGACGTGTAATAATACTATTAATATGTTATGACTCTTTTAATGTGATCAATATACATATTGCATCGGTACTTCACTAATAAATTTGTTATAATCATACTACTATTAGTATACCTTTGTACACCATCCATGAAGATTGAGCTATATTGAAAACTTCTGAACTTGTGTAAACTAAGTTTGATCAAAACTAACGTTTAGCTAACTTGACAAATGATTAGTAGCTTTACATGCTACATCTTAGATTTAAATCGATCTATAGATCTACTTAGAGTTGAACAAATAGTTGTCAGTGTGATTAACTTTGATTAACTAAGTTTCATTCAATGGTATGTTCGTAATTTGACACCGTTGGATGCTTGCCCAGTGGTCCAGTGGTTAGGCGTTCGAGCGCAAGACTAAAGGTCCTGGGTTCGAGTCCTGCTAGATGCAGGACAAATGGATGCGCACTGTTGATGAGTCCCATACCAGGATGAAAAGGATGTCCAGCGCATCCAGGTTTCTAATGGGGGTCTAACAATAATTGGTCGATTGATGATTTCAATGTGTACAAACACTCGGCTCCATAAGTCTAACTGAAACAATTATTCATTTAATGTTCTGAATTCTTTTATCATACAGTTATGGCAAAGTTTGTTGGTCCTTGCTTTTTATTATCAAGGAATTCATCAACATTGAATCACTAGACATCATCACAAATGTAATAATATGATAATTTTGTATTTAATTTCAGTAAGTGTAAATTTAAACCATATTCTAGATTACTGCTCTTAAATCAAATATATTTGTGTAACCTTTGTTATATCATTGTTATCATTATTTCAATTATTGATTAGATGGAAATCGGTCCAAATTTATGTGTATGGCCAATTCAAAATTTATCACCTATAGTTCAACAAAATAATGCTTTTGTATATAATCGATCAAAAAGTGTTGTACTAGAATTAGAAAGTGACAGTGAAACAGAGGTGGACTCCACACCGACTCATCATCATGATCCAATGAGAAATGAGCATCAAGACAATCTTTGTCCGACCCAATGGAATACTGGATTTATTCATTTATCATCGGATGAGGATAAAGAAGGAGAAGAGGCTAATAATCAATGCATTGATAATATTGATCTTGATCGATACAATGTTTACGGCAATCAACTTAATGTTGATACATTGAATAATCATGAGAATACTGTGGTTGATCAACAAGTTAAACTTGGAAACCGGCTATTCATTGATGATAATGATGATGATGACAAGAATCATCAAAATTTACATGATTTTTATGATAAAAATAATAATAATAATAATAGTAATCATAACAAGGATTATACATGTGGATTTTGTGGTTTTGATTTTGGTACTGCTGAACAAGTGGAAGAACATGTTCTATTGAAGCATTCAGATAATCAGATAATCACTTCGAATGATAATAGAACTACATCTATGAATAGTTCTTCTACTGATTCTTCTTCTCCTACTACTAATAAAACTAATAGTATTATTAGTAGTATTGCAGTTACTGTCACTAAAAATCCCAATCAATCTTCTATAGATTCTATTACAAAATTGAATCATTCCAGATTAATGTTAAAAGAGACAAGAAAATCAGTAAAAAATATTGGTGAATTATCAACGGATTTTGATCAAAAGTCTTCATCTTTAACTGTTGAAGTGGACGATCAAAAATCAAGAAGAAATGAGAGTGATTTTGCAACACTTAGTACAAATAATCCAATGATAACTGATTGTCCTCTATGCGATCGAACATTTGTTGGACGTCGATCATTAAATATACATTTGAATAAAACACATTCTATTAAAGACACTGGTAGTAACAATACTATTAATAATAATAATAATAATACTGATAATGCTGCCAGTATAACAAATAATACAGGTAGGCCACATTATTAATCAGAGCACTCTAATACTATATTGATTTACTGTACTTTACTTGAACCGAAAATTTTTACAACCACTCACTTACTGTTTTGAAAATGTGAAGCAAATCCAATGTAAAATTATTGATCTTAATGCAAAATGACCGCTACAATGGGTTATGGATAACTTTCATGAGCTACTTAACTGCTCTTTTTACCATATACCTAAAGTCAAATTAGATCCTGTTAATAAAAACCCAGTATTTTCCTAGATAGCCTAGACTACTGAAATTTATTTCAATAGTTTAAATTGATAATTGCGTAAATACAATGATGAGATTTGATTGACATTAATTTTTCCAAACTAAAGTGGGAAAATATCCGCCGGTAAAATAAATATTTGCAATTTATGAGGCCATCAAGATATCCAATTGTTATAGGGTTAGACATTTCGCATTCTTTTACGTTCCAAACACGCCAGTCGTAACAAGTGACACTAGGTGATTGATACACTTTGCACGGAAACGGGAAACATCATTCTATCTATGTTGGCTGTCATGTCGTTTGTATACCCTCATTCGACTTTCGATTATGATGCCATGATAATTATAGCTGAAGGTGTAGAGTTCCCTCAGCTGAGACTTATTAGTTCGCAACTGTATAAAGCATTGACCTCGGAATATTTATTTATGTGTTTGTTGACATTCTTCGTATATTTTTTTTTCATAAAATGCATGCTTATTATGATAACAGGAAGTTTTGCTAATTTTTTAGTTCTACTATTGATATGTAATAGCCCATTTGTGATGCAACAGAGCTGTTATTCGCGAGTATATGGTATTTATTAGTATAAAATAGATTCCAGGCTTAGATTCTTAAATAACAATTTGGAATAAGGAATGGGTTGAAGGACAAAAACCGCTGAAAATTTTAGTGAGATTTTTGAGGTACGCTTAGTGATTACCTTGCAAGTAGACGTAAACCTTAAGGCAGTGAAAATGGACCGTTTTCGAACTGCTTACTCATACCAACTTGGTCGAGAAATTTGGTATTTGTTGATTTTACTTACAGGTATGCATACTAACTTCTGAATAATAAAGACTTTGTTCTAGTGAAACTGTAGTTTCATGCTCTTAGTTGAGAAACAACTGCCTAGATTTGCTATACATAGCTTCAGATAAATGAAACAGTGCATTTCTGCTCTTTTGGAAAATGTTATGAGAAAAAGTATTTCAATATAAAAGATTTCGGCCTTTGAGCAAAACATTTTGAATAATCTGATTTCGTTTATTTTTGACAAAGTATTAATATATATCAATTATATAAGCGTTAATGATTAAAAATATACAAGAGAGATGGTGATGTAATGTAGACATGATAAAAAATAGTTGTCTTATAAGTTACAGAAGTGCAGATAAACGAGAAACAAGTCCATAGTCAGTATGAATTATTTTCAGACTTACATAAGCCTAGGAGTGTGTTCCCCATAACCATTAGCTGAGTAGTTAAACACTATTTTAAGGTCAATCCTATAACTTGTTTCAGTTGCATACTTTACCTGGAAAACGCATCAAACCATGTAATTGTTTGTGCAATTCTATAGCCTATAAAGAAATGTGGATTTTGTACTCCTAAAAGTGATCAACTTAATAACAAACCAATCCGCTAGTTGAGCCTTTTGGTTTTGCAACTTTCGTTACAAAATCATGCTGTTCAGTTCATCTCTGTACGAAGAAAGTGATATAAATTTTTATTTTTTTCAAGACAGAATATTAAAAAATGGTTTATGTGTAACTTAACTTGCACATTCTTTCATCTAGTAAATGTGTAATTTGATTCTATAAAATGTATTCAATAAATATATTACACTGTTTTGATTAACTCCCTCTGAACTATGCTCTCGACAGTTCCCGCCTTTTTAATTATTAAAACATCACGCTGATGTTTTTTTAAAATTATATTGTTGTTATCTCTGTGGAAATGTTATTATTATTTCTTTGAAATCATAAGCAGGTCTTTAAAGACAAGACATTTAATCATGAATAGCTTTTTCTAATAAATTAAATTATAAAAATGATAAATTCTACAAGTTAATTTAAACATTTTGTTATAATTTAGATGGTCAACAGCTGAAAACCAATGTTGCGCCAAAATTAACACGTCTTGCATGCACGCGTTCTTTAAGAGGACTTCATGGAAATCTCAATAGTGATAATAGCAATAACAATAATGATAATAATAATAATAATAATAACGATAATAATGACAATAATAATAATATTAAAACTACCAATGAAACAATAAAATCTCCAACTGAAAAATCTTTATGTAAAATTGTAGTTCGACCGCCAATTCTTCCACGACCATCACGTATTCATCAGTCTACTACCGCTAGTTCATCCATATCACCAACTAAAACAATTGTAGATAAGAAAAATTTACAAAATGAATCATTTTCACCACGTTCTGATGTTTCTGTATGTGAAGAGTTGCATTTAGCAAAATCTCGACCAACTGTTTATGCAGTTTCACCTCCACTAGCACCAGAACAAAGTAAGTAATATTGATTGATTTGTTTTTAAAAGTTTTAAGAATTTGATAATTTATTCAATGTTAGACCACTATTAGAAACCTGGAAGCACTGGACGGCCGTTTCGTCCTGGTATGGGACTACTCATCAGTAGTGCTCATACCAGAATCGATGTAACAGGCTGACACAACTGTGAAATTGATACATTGAACTTTTAAAAAAGTGTTCCATATAAGTGAATATGTAACCTGTCAATAGTGTTGTTAAGATTAATAATGAAGTGCATTTAGAAAAGATGTAATCTTAATCATTTGATAATAATTGCCAATTAAAACAAATTCAATGTAGAACTACATTGTAAAATGATCGCCTGAAATTTTCTGTTGTTCCTCAACAACCGTTAGATATCGGCTCAGCGATCCAGAGGTTAGGCGTTCGCACACAATACCGAAGGTCCTGGGTTCGAATCCTGTGAGGTACAGGAATCGTCAGTGCGCACTGCTGATGAGTCCCATACCAAGACAAAACGTCCGTCCAGTGCTTCCAGATTTCTAATGTTGGTCTAACATTGATCGATTCATGGTTTCAAAATGTGTAACTTAAAAATCTTCACAACCCCTAAATGCAATTTATTCCATGTTGTATTGAATCCCTAAATGATAATTCTTTTTTTGATTGAAAAACAGAAAAATGATGTTTGTTTTCAGTTGTTGAGGAACAATAGAAAAATTCACGTGATCATTTTAAAATGTAGTTCTACACTGAATTTGTTTTAATTGGCAATTATTATCAAATGATTAAGATTACATCTTTTCTAAATGCACTTCATTATTAATCTTAACAACACTATTGACAGGTTACATATTCACTTATATGGAACACTTTTTTAAAAGTCCCATGTATCAATTTCACACTTATTTCAGTCTGTTTCGTCGATTCATCAATCAGAGTTAGACATTAACACCGTCGGATGCCGGCTCAGTGGTCCGATGGTTAGGCGTTCGCGCACAATACCGAAGGTCCCGGGTTCGAATCCTGTGAGGTGCAGGAGTCGTGGATGCGCACTGCTGATGAGTCCCATACCAGGACGAAACGGCCGTCTAGTGCTTATAGGTTTCTAATGGTGGTCTAACAATTATTGATCGATTGATGATTTCAAATGTGTAAAAACACAAATCCTCCAAAACTCTGCCCGAAAATATCATAATTAATTATACAAAAACAATACAATACACAATACCAGGTGTTTGAAAATAACAAACCAAATTGTTTGAATAACATTCTATTCACTGTGAAACTGTAATTATTACTTTCAAGGATGAAATGAGGAACAATAAGATTGATCGATATTTATTGCATCGCACACAAATAATTTTTTTTCAGCTTGAATAATTTTGTTTATCTTTTCTAATTTATGACAAAATAACTTGTATGCTATGCTTAGTGTTTTAGATGAAACTGTCATGTTAATAATTGGTAATACTTCTTTGTACTTGCATTGCTAGACTGCAACTATCGAACTGCTCTCTATTTACTTCATTGCGAGAAACCGGATAGTATTACAACTTCCTTTTCATACACACACACATACACACAAATATGTGCAATTCAAGGTTGTGAGTATACGAATCTGTACTTAGGTACTGAGTTACATTAAAATATCACATCGAAATCACTTCACTATCAGATGACATAATGATTGTTGGACAAATTAAAAACTTTTAAATATTGGGATATTTTTTTTATGGCAGAACATGATTTCAAAATATGAAAATATCACATTTCACTTCAATAGTAGTATATTTTAATACGAATTATTATCTATGATGAAATTTGTCGGGAATGAATAGTAGTAGTCGATCAGATGTTACGACACTTTATCATCCTCTTACCGAAAAGTTATGCATTAAAAAAATGTATTAGGCTAATTTACTGTTTTTTTCAGTATGATTTATTGAGCTATCTAGACTTTGACTACTAGCGACAATGATATGCTAGGGAACTAAGATAACGTAACAATATGTTGTACACGGACGACAGATTAGATGTATACAAATCATTGAGACAATAATCGAATCCATGTTAGTCTGCTACTTTCGGCTACACTCTGGTTTACATTCAAATGAGTATTTGAAAACCTATCTGATGGTGGATTTTTGACTGTTTTTTTTTCAATACACTCTGACAATTTACTGAATGCATGAACTTCTGAATAAGTTAATTGCAAATTACATATCACTGTTATTAGCCATACTTCTACTATCAACTACTCAACTTATTATGTCAATCAAGTTTTGGAATTACAATCATATTAAAGTAATCCTACAAATTTTACTATTGGAGCTGAATCGTTGCAACTCCCCCGATACTGATAGAAACAACTATCATCTAATTGGAT